TGTATGTATGTAGGTCTAGGTGTGTTCGGGTCTTTTCCTGTGTAAGATTAAGACTATCTTGGTGACTATCTTGGCAGCTCTGATCACACACTGCTTGCACTGGCACGAAGCCGAAAGCACCAGCCTGAAGATGGAGAGTGGGACCTCGCCAAAATGTAGCCAAAATAGTCTTAATCTTACATGGGAAAAGACCCAAACACACCTAGACCTACATACATACATACATACATACATACATACATACATACATACGCATTTTTTTCCTTGCAAATAAGTGGATACACCTTCGATATGCAAATAAAGAAAACTTACATAGGTTTTATTCTGTGCCAGTTCTGAGATAGCTTGATTGATGGCCATATGTGAATATGACTACTTCCTTAGTAAATAAACACAACAAACTGCTGAACATTTACCAGCTATTCCTAAACACACGCTTTCCATCTACAAGACTGTCCAGATTATGATCATAGATGGATCCTGTAATGGGCTAGAAATAAGTGAAGTTCATGGACATGGATAATCCTAAAATAAGCCAGTGAAGGACATCCTGCCATCAACTGCAACACCAACTGCACACAAACTCTTTTGCAACTATATACTGTAATTTCATATTTGTTTGTCATTGGTGTTTTGGGTATTTGAATGTGGATAAGCACAAAGATTCCCAAAAGCTGAGCTTGATTTCTAAATACTATCCACCTTAATGAAAGGTATATATCTATGTATATACCTTTCACAGAGTTTCCCTGGCAACATATGGAAGCATTTTTGACCAATAAAAGCATTATTTTAAGTACATTATTTGGTGCTGTTTAATGACAAATAATAATAATAGATGCCTCTACTATCCTTCAATTTATTGCTTCGATGGCATTTCATACATTAATAAGCTACAACTTTTCTCTAGAACTATTCTTACAAATGGTGGTGCCAAAATTCAATTTTTTTCTAGCATGTCCTTCCTTCCTTCCTTCCTTCCTTCCTTCCTTCCTTCCTTCCTTCCTTCCTTCCTTCCTTCCTTCCTTCCTTTCTTTCTTCCCTTCCTCTTCCAACATGACTCTCACTAATCCAGGTGATAATCAATCCAGTATGAGTTTCAAATTATATATTCTGATTATACTGAATGGGATTTTTGGAATATATTTATTTTTATTCATTTATGTTTCCTATTTCTAAACCACCCGTCTCCCTCGGGTGGGGAGGTTAGTCTGACTCTTTAGCTGAGACTTGGCTGAAATGAGTTGCATCTGTTAAGCCTAGCAGGGCCCTCCATTATCAAAAAGTACTGTTCCTTTGCGGGGGCTTTTTATTATTATAGTTAGTTGCACAGTCAGCCAGATGTTTAGACTGGATTTGACATTTTTAACCACTTATTCAATCCTTCCCAAGGACCTGACATAAATAGATGTTGCTGTTGGATGTTGTTCAAGGTATAGTTGCAGGATTTAAGCTTTTCCAAGTATAGCTGCCTTTTGCAATTGACTGATGGTGATTTTGTCAATGCTGATGGTGTTCAAGTGGTTATCCAGTTGTTTTGGAATTGTATCCCAAAGTGTCTATTATTGTTGGTTCTATCTTTTTCTTTTGCCACAGTCATTCTCCTTCTATTTGTAGGACTTTATATTTTGTGATTTTCTTCAATTCTTTCTCTTCTATTTGGTTCTTTTTAGGTACTCCGTGTCCATGACTTCGTTATTAAGGTTCGTCGCACAGTCAGCCAGATGTTCAGATTGGACATTTTTGTCAAGCTATCGAATCTGGTCCAAGGACCTGGGACAGGCAGATGTGCATGTTTGATGGCCTTAAGGGTTTCATTGCAGGACATACGCTCTTCTGAGCAAAGCTGTCTTTATCATTATTATTGCAGTGATTTATAGTTAATTACGTAATTGCATTTTTTGTGAAAAACATTTTTTTTCATATTTGTTTAAATTTACTTCATTTGTATTTTAGAAATCAATATTTTCAGAGGTGGGGGAGGGGGAAGCACAGAATGTATCTTCTGACATTTGGAAATTAGCTCCAAATGAATAAAAAATAGAAATCTGAACTTTTAAAAATATTTGAAACTGGTGCTTTCCATTTTTTTTAAAAAAAACCTGGGATTAATCATTAAATGAACATACTTCCTCCCACTTGACTTTCTGGCTCCCTTATCTGTCAGGTTGGCTAAAATACAAGGCAGAAAAACTGATGGAAATAAGTCAATATAATTCATGGAGTAAAGTTTGAAGTAAGAACATTTTGAGGTACTTTAAATATCCTCCTTTTCCCTTTTGTGTCTTTTACAGTCACAGACCTATAATATATTCAAATTTACAAGGGATTCAAATTTGGCACAATAGAGATGCATGAATCTTTGGGCTGATTCATCCAATTTGTTATATTTTATTCAAGACAGCAGCTAAATTTGAGGGTTGGGTTTTTTTTTGAAAAATGCAATAACTCATTGACTTGACCTGGCTTTTCCAGTAGACCTTAAGAACAGACAATTCATGAAGCATTCCCTCTTATAGTGTGGCATTCTATTTTTTAAATCGACTCTAGCCTGGAACTGTGATGCTATCTTATGCTTAATTTTTAATCTTATGTTACAGACTAGGCAAAATGTAGTATACAAGCCACTGAGAGACAGTGGAGGTTGAGGAGCATATAAACCTAGTTAAATAAATCAGTACAATAAAAATAAATGAACACAATTCTGATTTCAGAGTTGAGGCTTGAAGCCAAATGGGAAAAACATATATCAAAGATGATTTTGATGTGCTTGAAACCCCTCAGTAATGGTTTCGGTTGATATGACGCAAAATTGATAAAAATTACATGATGAATAACTGGGCTTTGTTTGGGAACAACCAGAAGGTTAAAAGCAAAGCATTAATTTTCTTTCTTTTTTACTTTAGAGAGCAAAAGATGACATTAACTATATCTTGTAGAAACATGAACAGGGAATGGTGGACTCTGCTCCTTCTATTGTACCTACAAGGAGACTGCATAGAAAATAAAGAAAAGGAGAAGATATTTCCCAGTACCAATTAAACATGAGCCAACAGTGTGCAGCAGCAGCCAAAAAAGCCAATGCAATCCTAAGTTGCATTAACAGAGGGATACAATCAAGATCAAGCGCGGTACTAATACCACTGTATAAAGCCTTAGTAAGACCACACTTAGAATACTGCATCCAGTTTGGGTGACCGCAACTATAAAAAAAGATGTCAAAACTCTAGAAAGAGTGCAAAGAAGAGCAACCAAGATGATTAGGGGACTGGAGGCTAAAACATACGATGAACGGTTGCAGGTACTGGGGCATGGCCAGTCTAGTGAAGAGAAGGACCAGGGGAGACATGATAGCAGTGTTCCAGTATTTGAGGGGCTGCAACAGAGAGGAAGGGGTCAAGCTATTTTCCAAAGCACCTAAAGGCCAGATAAAGAATAATGGATGGAAACTGATCAAGGAGAGGTTCAACCTGGACATAAGGAGAAATTTTCTGACAGTGAGAGCAACCAACCAATGGAACAGCTTGCCTTCAGAAGTTGTCGATAGTTCATCACTGGAAACTTTGAAGAAGAGACTGGACTGCCATCAGAAATAGTGTAGGGTCTTCTGCTTGGAAGGGGAGGTTGGACTAGCCTTGCTTCCTAATTGAAGGGGACATCTGCAGGTACACCGGTGAAGTGGAGACATATCCTATTCAAGCAGGAGCCACAACCATCAGGATTTGGAACAGAGAAAAGGCCCCTAGTAGATGCATCTTTTAGCATGCTGAGGGGTCTATACATCACTGCAATACAGGTAGTCCTTGACTTGCAACAGTTCATTCGGTGATCGCTCAAAGTTATGACGGCACTGAAAAAAAGTGACTTATGACCGTTGCAGCATTCCCATGGTCACGCGATCAAAATTTGGACGCTTGGCAACTGACTCATATATACGACAGTTGCAATATCCCAGGATCGTGCAATCAACTTTTGTGATCTGATAACCGTGGCAAGAAAGGTCACAAAATGAGGCGAAGCACACTTAACGACTGTCTCCCTTAGCAGCAGAAACTTTTGGTCTTCAGCTTGGGTCGTAAGTCGAGGACTACCTGAGGTGAATTTATATTGCCAAGTTTATATCAAAGCAAGGTGCAGGATATTAGATATAATGCTGTTCGTTGGCTGTGGGGAGGTGACCTAGAATCTTTTGCAAACAACCAATCCTGGCAGAGCCCCATTTATGGTGAGAACTTCACGGGCCGTGAAGTGGCTCAGAGGGGAAAACATACACCTGGCATTACTTTGGGTGATTTTCTTGACAGATTAAAATCAAAAAGTGTGCTTTGTCAAGGAAACCACAGTTTCCAAGATGATGTCATTTGGTCTCCATAGATGTTTAATCTGTTATTTTGTCTCCTGCCGCTCCTGAGAGCAGAACAGTTTCTCAGCAGCGTATCCTTCAACTGTCCCAAATTGACTGTAGCGGCAGCAGCAGCAGCAGCACAGGACTGTCCTGGAAGCCTGGAAATCTGATCTGGGAATCTTCTGACTTAGAGGCTGAATCAGTTTCCTGATAGGCTTGCCAGCTTCTCACATTTTTCAAAGCTCCTTCACTCCTTCTATCTCCCAGCAGAGACGGATCAGAGATAGCAGCTTTTCCTAGTCTCCCTTATTGTGCAAGTAAAAGTCAAATACTTTTTTTTTTCCTTTGGGTGGTGGGGTCATTTACTGACAGAGGGATTAATTTTCTTACCCTGCATGCAGGGTCTTGCCATTAAACATTCATTTTATGGGGACTTATCGATATCGAAGCATGGTGTAGGAAGTAGGAAAGATCAATTCCATCTTATTTAGGGGGGGTGTCCAAATTCCCATCTACCGGGCACAAATTCCGTTTTAAGTATTTTGCCTACAAACTCAGCTGAAACGTTTTTTTAAAAAAAATGAATATTCCTACCCAAAAGTATGTTACCTTTCTCCTTATACTTTTTCTCATCTCGGCCACTTTTACTTAACGATGCTTCCACAGTAAATGGAAATGCTTGTGTATGCTGTTCTATGCATACTTCTGAGAATTACTGACCGTTTTAAGAAACGTTGAAAAACAATGTTATTTTACCATGCACTGTGTTTCAAATTCCCTATAGGTTTGAGAAGCGCCAGATCAGCCCCACATTTTGTGTGCGGAATTGCACACCTTTCTAGTTCACCTGTCTTTCTGATCCCCTTTTCCAAAGTCTTTATTACTATGATTGCAGCAGATAAATTACTATACTAATTATGTGCTGCTATCATTTTAGCTCATAGGAAACGAGAAAAGGTTCTTTGTTGCAGCTTTCCTCAAGGCTGCTGGGCTGTTGGCATTTAATTTTTGAGGAAAGAGAGATTGAGAAGGAGGAAGGGTGGGATCAGGAACAATGAGGCTTTTTACAGACTGGAGCATTTGATGAACACAACAAGGAGACATTGAAGAAGTACTGCAGATATGTGTGGCCCAGCTACAGTAATTGCTTTCTCTTACTGTACAATAATTCCAAGCTGTTAGCATACCATGTGGTTTATTGGCCCTGCAGCTAATGGAAACGAAACCCAGATTCTAAGATTTGGTCTCCCCAGGCTTCAAAATTCAAACAGATGATAAGCAAGCCAAAAGGATTTGCAATGGTCATCAATGGGCAAACATTCCCATGATTTTGTGCATGCTGTTGGTAGCAATGAGTAGTAGAACAATGTGTGAGGTTTTGGCCACAAGAAAGAAAGAGATCTTAATAAGGCACAATAATAGTTTAAAAGATGAGTAATAGGCAGCCCCCACACCAGGGGTCTGCAACCTTAAACACTCAAAGAGCCATTTGGACCCATTTCCCACAGAAAAGAAAACACTGGGAGACAATAATTTAACTATCAGTGTAACTGATTGGCCAACTCGATGTTACTCACTCTCACCCAGTCACCTCCTGCTTTGGAATATGAAACGAGTCTCCACCCCCTGTTATCACCCTTACCTTCTCAGACCAGGGGAGGGGGGAGGGGAGGGGGCCAGCCAGTGGTGGGATCAGCCAACAGGGAGCTGCAGCAGAAGGCCAAAAGGGCTGCATGTGGCTCCGGAGCTGCAGGTTTCTGACTACACGCCCACTGCCAGCCTTCGTTGCTGTATTTTCGTGCCTCTGCAAATCACACTGCCCAATCTTTGGCAGCAAAGTTTTAAGAACCAATGGCATTCTTTTCTTCTGTTTTCTCATAAGGACAGACATTGGGGGGGGGGGTGTACTTTAAGCTTAATTGGAGGCCCATCTTAATATCCTTTGGAATCTCAGGATTCCCACCACATTTGGGAATATAACCACATTTCTACCTTGGTTGAAGAGAAAAAGATTACGTCCCTGGTCTTCCTATATATCTAGAATTCTATAGAATTCTATACCTAGAATCCCCTTTGCATTGCAGAAATAAAGAATTTGACTGGAACACTGGAAAACATTCTGGTCCTAAATATAAATACCCTCAATAAGGCAGAACTTTAGCCTCACACATATAGTACTACCTATGCTCTCAGGCTCAAGTACATACCCTAAAATGCTTTTTTATGAGCTAAATGCATGAGCTTCATGGGATCATTCCAGAGGTGGTATTCAGCAGGTTCTGACCAGTTCTGAAGAACTGGTAGCAGAAATTTTGAGTAGTTCGGAGAACCGGTAAATATCACCTCTGACTGGCCCCACCCCACCTATTTTCTACCTCCCGAGTCCCAGCTGATTGGCTGGGTCTTCTTTTGTTGCCCTGCACAGGAGAATGGAGCTGGAAATTAGGTTAGTGGGATGGAGACAGAATGGAGATTTTACAGTATCCTTCCCCTGCCACGCCCACAGAACTGGCAGTAAAAAAAAATTGAATCCCACCACTGGATCATTCCCATGTGCCACTGAATCTTGATTTCCAGATGAAATATGTTTGGCTGAAGGAGTTGCCCTTATGGGCTATAGGTTGCAAAGCATCTTTTTACCCTCAAAGCTGAAATCCTGAACACCTCTAAAAGTGTCATATCTTCAGTGCAAGCTGCGTTGGTCATCCTAAGATTACAATTGCCATTGTCTAAGCCAGGGGTGTCAAACTCAAGGCCAGCGGGCCGGATCCAGCTCATGGGGTGCTTAGATCTGGCCCATGGGGCCACCCTGGAAACAGCGAGGCACTGGCCCCCAGTGCCTCTGCTAGCAAAAACAGAGCTCAGAAGGCTTCATGTCGCCCGGTTGAGCTCCATTTTTGCTGGAAGAGGGTTGCAGGAGGCCATTGCATCTGGAAATGTAGCACAGGCGCCCATTTTTGCTGGCCAAGCTCTCAAGCCACCACAGGCACCCCCGACATAAGTGATATCAAGCTGGCCATGCCCATCCTGACCACGCCTACCCCAGTCCCCCGAGATCAAACGCAACCCTGATTCGGCCCTCAGTGAAATCGAGTTTGACACCCCTGATCTAAGCAAATGAAGCTGATAAATGTAATACCCATAGTTCTTGACTTACGACCGGCATCGTAGTGACTGTTTGAAGCTGCAAAAAGAGAATTACAACCTGCCTCTGAACTTCTGATGGTTGGGCTTCCCCTTTAAGATCATATGACCATAAAAGTAATCATTAAGCAGTAGAGTTGTTAAGTGAGTTATCACAGGACTGCGCCTGTTTTTATTACCTTTTTTGCCATGGTCATTAAGTGAATCACATGTGGTTGTTAAGTGAGATGTCACCTGACTATGGTTTGTAATCTGTGATGGCTTCTCCATTGACTTTGCTTGTTGGAAGCTGTCTGGAAAGATTGCAAAATGGTGATTACTTGATTGCAGCAATGCTTCAACTGTCGTAAGTGTGTAGACAGGTTGCAAGTCATTTTTGTAAACACTGTTGTAACTTTGAATGGTTGCAAAGCAGATAACTGCTAAGCAAGGATTACCTGTAGGTTTACGACCAATCTTCAGTTTTATGACTTTTGCAGTTCTATAAAGCGAAAGAATAAAATAAAAGGTGACGTGAGATTATAAGTACTGCTGCAGTTTAGTGACTTCTTTGCTTAACAACTGAGTTTGTTGGTCCCAATTGTGGCCATTAAATGAGTACTATCTGCACTGCTTTGAAGGCCTGGAGAGCTGATCTATAGCATATCATAAAAGCATCCTATTTTTTTTTTTAATTTAGTACCTTATGCATGTGATTCCATTTCGCAAAGATGACGAATGGCTTTTCTACAACCTGTTGCTTTTCCCCACTTTCCCCATATTTTATGACTCATTTATTCTGTCCTCATGAGGGGGAAAAAACCCTCAGATAAAAAAGCTAATAGCCACCCCAAATTTTTTTTTTTTAAATTAAAGAATAATAAAAGGGGGGTAAAAATGCCACAGAACTGAGCACGTGTCATTTCAAACTCACTAGAATAATTTAATTCTCATAACTGCAGAAATAAAATTAGTTTGCCTGCCCTGCCATAATATTTACTTTGGCACAAGCATTATTTTATTGCAGAACAGGGAAATCGAGTTTAATAAGAAGCCAACTTTACGCATACCTGTCTCTCGGGGCAAAATAGGCCTCGATTCTACTTTAATTATAAGAAAGGATGTCATATTGTCTAGTATCAGCTTGGTGGTACCCAATGTATCCGTGGTGGCTTACTTTCCAATCTGGGTGTTCTCCTGATGAGTGGATGTCAACCCCAAGCTTTCCCAGCGAGCGAGATCATGAAATCTAGACCTGACATCATAACAAGGGTTGATCAGCTGAAGGCCTCCGAGCCATATGTAGCCTCTGAATGTATTTGGTGCCATTCCAGAGCATCTGCAACATTTGTCACTAAATGTTTCATGGATACAACAAAAAAATGCATTTTCAATAGTAGAATTTTATTAAAGACACAATTTTGTCCTGCCCATAAACTGTTCTCTACCTAACTAATGGGAAGACAGTTGCACAGTTACTGTGGGTAATTTCCAGTTTAGTTTGCATCTAGAATACATCTCTGGTCAATTTTTATATCTGGATCCAGGCAAGTACATTTTCCACTCAGCTCAGCTAGCAAAAAAACAAACCAAAAAACCACAGTCTGATGTTTAGTTATTATATATGATCAAACTTTAAACAAGTTAACTGGGAAAAAACTGAAAAGAAGCAGACAAAAAATGGAGAAAGAGAAGGGAGAAATTAAAAAGGGAGAGTTATTTAATAATAGCAAACTATATTATCTATACCTACAAACTTAAAAAGCATAGAGCTTTGCAGAACTACTGTAAATAACATTGTGGATAATTACCCCTATTGGTTATATTGGCCTTAGCCTATTTTTGTACATAACAGCAGCCAAATAGATTTGGAAATAAAGACACCAGGTGATCCCTTTATATGCACCATGAAAGAAACAATTTGATGGGTGGAGATGATTATCCAACATATGGGACAAACTTTGAAAGGATCTGACATTACTGCGCGTCAGCTCTGGGAAAAGACTGACTAAAAATATAGGGACAGATGTGGAGAAACTATGCCCAGAGCTGGTTCCAAGGAGTCAAAGGGAGATTTTCAGCAGCTGTTTTGCTACAATGGTGTTTCACAACTTTAAGATGTCTGGACTGCAACTCCCAGAATTCTCAGCAATGGAACTTGTTTAGCTAGGGAATTGTGGGTGCTGAAGATGACATATCTGAGGTTGCCCAGGTATGACAGTATTAGGGTAGATCAGTTTTAACAGCTTTAAGATGTGTGGGTTTCAATTCACCAAGTTCTGGAAATGGAAGTCCATCTATCTTAGAATTGGTAAGGTTGAGAACCAGTGTGTTAAAGTGTTGCAGTTTGTACGCAGATCAAAACTTGTGTGTTGAGTTCAGGGGATGAGTGTAATAACCCAGGTTCATGGTCTGAAAGTTCTGGGGGCATCAGGATTGGACTGGATGGCAGATTCCTGGGTTTTTAAAAATGTCTCTGAAAGAAAACTGGAAAATGTAGGAAATCGACTGTGGAAAACAAAGGAACTCTAAGCTGTGAGGATACAGATGGACCTCTTGGACCAAAAGACCTGGGGAATGTTGGTACTTAATGGAAGCCAATGGCTACTTGGTTATTTCCTTTGGGCCCATTTCCAATGTATGTGCTCTGTTTTGCCAAGTTTGGAAGAAGGATGGCAATGTCTATTTGGAGTCCAGGGAACCAAATTATATTACTTATTATGTAGCAGGCAACCGATAGCGCTCCTTTTATATTTTGGCAGCCGGGATACAATTTCCTGTTTCATTCTAGGATCAGCATGCATAGGTTAAGGGGACCTTTAAATCTTCCCTTTAGTCCTCCAGACTCTCAGACGACAATGGCGATGTTTATCTTGCTCTTCTTAATCTCTTTAATTGGCTTGAGATGGGGGGAATGCTTGCAAATGAGGTGGATGTCAGAGGCAGTCTTACTGCTATGTATCCAGACAAAGCTATCCTGGTCAGGCTGAGCTCCTTGGTAAATTTTAGCCTAAGATAAAATTGAGCAGACTCAGCCCTACACTAGGGAAAATATGTTTCCTGGATCCAGAGTTTTTTGGGTGGTGGTGGTGGTGGTGGAATGAGGAACCATCCACCATCTGAGAATCACTTTCTCTTGGAGGAACTTCTCTGATCTTCCACAAGGTTGTTCTTAACATCCCATCCAAACCAACCTCATTTTGTCTGCTTAAACGCCACTATATTATTTCTGCTGTTTTGCTGTCGTCATCAATCATCATCATCATTTTAGACATTGTCTATCCATGGTAGGATGAAGGCCTATTCTGCTTGTTTCCAGTCAATATGTTCCTCAGCTTCCTTTTGTTAATTGGGCCCACAATACTTGCTAATGTCATTGATCCGTCTTGTATTTTGACATAAACTGTTTCAACTCCTTCCCTTAAAACGATGCTATAGAAAGAGCACTGCACTCCAGAACAATTAGACACAAGAACAATTTTTGCCCGAAAGCCATCATTCAACAAATAATTTCCTCAACACTGTTCAACTATTTCAAAGTCTGTACTACTATTACTGTTAATCTTCTCATCATGCCTTATCATCCATCCCTTCCCACTTGTGACTGTATGACTGTAACTTTGTCGCTTGTATTCTTATGACTTATATAGACTGTTTCTAGTATGATTTGATTGCTTATTGTACCCTATGACTATCACTAAGTGTTGTACCTTATGATTTTTGACGAATGCATCTTTTCTTTTATGTACACTGAGAGTATTTGCACCAAGACAAATTCCTTGTGTATCCAACCACACTTGGCCGATAAAGAATTCTATTGTTTTAAGGTCTCTTTTGTGGATGCTTTTTATCAAGTGAAATCCATTTTATGACTGCCTTCACCCACCTTCCCATCAGTTCTTCTTGCTATGTGACCAGCTCATTTCCATGTCAATTCTTTTACTGTCTTGATGATATTGTATACTTTCGTTTGTTTTCTAATCCATGTACAGGTCTTCATATCTTGTCTTGTAAAGCCGAGCATGTATCTTGTTGCTCTTTTGTATTGGCTTTAAGATGACTGAGGGCTCTTGTTAGTCATGCTTATTATCACCCAATTACAGGAGAAGGGTGGCATTTTTCTAATGGGACAAGTTAGTCCACTTGGATGTTTTTAGGCTTTTTGTCCATGGTGGACCTTTGGAAGCAATTATGTACATGCTAAGATCGTGTGTAGCATCCCCAGATTACCATTATTTTGAATACACAGCGGGGAAGCTCTGAAAAACAGAAGATCCAATAGTAGAGAATATATGTAGCTCAGGATTGAATTGAGGAGCCCCTGACGCTCTCTGTGCTTGGTTGTTTGCTTGCAGATGTTTAATTACCCAACTAGGTAATATTATCAGTGCTGGTCTGTGGGGTTTACTGCCTGTACAGGAAACAAACCAGCACTAACATGCACTGATAATGTTACCTAGTTGGGCAATGAAACATCTGCAAGCAAACAACCGAGCTCAGAAAATAGAATATCTCTGCCTCCCAGTGCTAGCCTTTTATATGTGAGAAGATCTTCCTGTAAGACAGTGCTCATGCTGGCTGGGGAATCCTGGGAGTTGAAGTCCACATGTTATAAAGTTACAAAGGTTGAGAAACAATGCCACATGGCATCACCAACCACTCTAGTGTGGGTCTTATCCATACCAAGACCGTTGGTCTAACCACCTGGAATTTATCAAGCTAGCCTTAGAGCAGCACATGACGTCTTGGGACTTTTGTTCCCCCTCGCTAAACCGGGCAGGGGCGGGTGCCAGCACATGACACATCCAGCCCTCGGGCTGTGAGTTTGACACCCCTGCCTTAGAGCGAGCAAAGAACTCAGCAAGCTGTTCTTCTTTAAGAAATAGTAAACTTTCATACTAAAGAGAAATGCTGCCTTCTCTGGAACCTATTCTACCACAGATGAATTGTGCTGAGAATGATCCTTAAAGTAGGTTTATGTCTCTAGCCAGTGATTTTTTTTCCCTGTTAGGAATTAGGGCTGGTATAGATAAAAAGAACCCATCAATTTTGAATATCTAGCTTTTGTCCTTTTCATTTGAAGCCATGAAATCAATTTTATTGTAAATCACATCCACTCAGTTTTGAAAAGAATAAAACTATTAAAAACAAAAATCAAAGAGATCTATATCAGTACTTTTTTTTTTTTGCAAAAAGCAAGATTATTTTATCTGAACTCATCTTTTGTTTGCCTTTATTCTCTATCCCTGTCTCTTTTCTGAAATCATGTTAAAAGGAAAGTCAGCTGTGAAAAGAAGAGAAAACCTATTCCTGAAAAATTAGATGACTGTTATTTATTTTCAGCAACAATTTCTCCAAGATCCTTCATGTTAATTCATATATGAAGACGTGTCATAAAGACTTCCCATTATACCTCAAGGAAAGACTGCACGGAAATAACAGTGAATAGTAGCAACAACAACAATAAACCCTTTGAGACAATCTCTCATTTTTGTTTGTTCCAAAATTTTAAGCTGGATAATGGTCACTCTTTGCAAAATAAGAAT